GGACCATTCGCAATTCACAGTTGATTAAATCCTCTGAAAAATTGGACAACAATGACACTGAAATATAAGCAGGTTTCGTCTTCCTACTGTAGAGTTTGGATGCTTTGATTTCTGTTTCATAAGCTGGGTTCAAATTCATACCGTATTTTTCGGACTATAAGGCGCATTTAAAATCCTTTTCTCAAAAATCGACAGCGCCTTATAATCCGGTGCGCCTTATGTATTAATTCTGGTTGTGCTTACTGACCTCGAAATGATTTTATGTGGCACATGTTGTCAAAGATTTCAGCTTGTCCAAGAAAGGGTGGAAGTAAAAGGCTGCAGACCAACTGGATGTCTTACGCAGGAAAAGTTTATTTATTTACCATCAATAATACAGGCCCGGGGGGACATGAAAAGTCAACATAGTATGATTTCAAAAGTGAACATATGATCTTTGAGTGTTCAAGACCTTTGAATATGTTTCCAGAGGAGGAGGTTTATAAAGCAAGTGTGGTGAGACTATGAAGACCAGTAGACATCAGTTAGACAGAAATATGCCACAATTTAGATAATGGTGTGCCAATGGTGCGCCAAGGGAAGATCATGGTGTAAATATAACTTTTGTGTGTCAGTGTTAAACTGAGATGTACGTGGAATATGTGGATAAATTACTTAAATTCTCTTACAGTACACGGTGCTCAAAAATTTGTCAAAATGTTTTCATACGACTTTGGTGAGCTACAAAGGCTATGTTCAGACTACAGCCTGAAGTGACCCAAATCTGATTTTTTTTGGCCCCTATGTGACCTGTATCTGATCTTTTAATGACAGTCTGAACCACACAGGTCAGATTTTTTCAAATGCGACCCAGGACGCTTGGATATGTGCTCCTGAAACTGATACATATCTGATCTTTTGACATGCGACTTCAGTCTGAATGGCCAAAGTGCATTCACCCGACCTACACGTTATCAACAAGCCACAAACGTCACTATTCTGCGGTGAAGTAGGCAAAAATTGTTAATGAACTCCATGTCACTGAAGCGAAGCACATCTCCACTCACCACTCTTGGTCACGTCTCCACATCCACACGGTTCCTTTCAACGGACGTCGCTGCCGCTGTCCCACAAAACACCACGGCCAAAAACCTCGTCCTTCTCCTTCTCAATCTCCTCCTTAAAATAAGTAAGTTGTTCATGTTCTGGCTCCAGTACGAGAGGAACTTTAAAATCTCCAGGTGCTCAATGCTCGCTTCCATGTCCGTAAACACAGAGCACGCTCACTGTGGTTGACGTCATTGTGTCCTCCAGTGCACATGTGGGACACTTTCAGGCCGTTTAATGTTCACACTGGAGATCACATACAAGTCACATTTAATTGGAAATGTGAACGACCTCGCAAAAACATCGGATTTCACAAAAAAATCCGAATTGAGCGTTAAGCCCTGCAGTCTGAACGTAGCCAAAGTCTCACCGCTTGATGGATTGTCAGAGCATTACAGCTACAGTAGTAAGGAGCCGACAGAAGTCCAGTAGAAGCTGAACCGCATCAGCGCTTATAGTTTATGCAAATGAGCCATGTAGTTTTAAGTTTCGTTTTTGGAAAATGTAAACAAATGTGCGTAAAGCTGCATGAAACACATTATTACTTAATATATATTTGAGTTGTCCACGTAAGAAATAAAAAAAAGAAAACTTAATTTGTCTACCCACATTCACCAAGACAGGGAGGCAACGGCGGGTGAGTTACACCACGATCTGCCAATGGATCGTGGATACCTGGGCTAAGGGATCAGCCTCAAGTGTCGTCCGTTTGTTTCACTTAATGCATCTTATAATCCAGTGTGCCTTATGTGTGAAAGCAGACGAGATAATTTTACATTATTGATATTGCGCCTTATAATCTGGTGCACTTTATAGTCCGAAAAATACAGCACTCATACAACATAAAATGGAACTAAACCGGGTCTAAAACAACACCAACCAAGTCTATATCTGAACCATTTGAACTAGAGTTGTCAAGAGTATAAAAAATTTTGTACTAATCAATCCTGAAACTAAGAAACATAACAACATAGATCAGAAAATGGCGTAATATGGGCTCTTGAAGACATCTTTTGGGCAAGAACAAACCTTGAAATCCTACTTTTTATTGTAATTTATTTATTTTTGTTTGGTTTTATAATGGCGACGATGCAGATCTTTAAGTCTGTGGTGATTTTGTTTTTCTTTGAGCTTGATATTTATGAACTAGGGTTGTCAAAAGTACTGAAAAGCAGATCCTAATCAATACTGAAACTATGATTTAAACTAGATACTCATTTGAGCAGGTGTTGATATTAAAAAGTCACATTCACAGGACAGAAGTGAACCTTTTCTGAAGCTTTAGAATAATCTTGAGCTGTATCAGAAAAAGTATAAGAGCAAATAGACTAGTATACACCCACAGACCACTATGGAATCGATCACACAGATAATTTAACATCGAAAATTACATTCTATTGTCTAAAGAAAGAGCCTATTCTGTTCCTTAGTATCGAAATCAAGTTTGAAAATTGTATCGAGTGAACGCAGCCTGTATTTTTGGCGTTCCCTCTTCAGCTAGGAATTTAAAAAACATTATATCACTACTTTATTCCTGTGCACTTGCATAAAAGGCTGCTAGCTTCAAAATGAGTTTAATTAAATAGATGGCGTGTGGTTTAGCCTTGTCATGGAGCAGTCGCCCACTGGTGTTACACAACTGCAGCAGACTCATCCCTCCTCCAGCTCTGAGCTCGTGGCCTGTCTGTCAACTCAGCTCCAACTGCACAGACTTTACTTCTACGATGTTTTCGATCTACGTTTTGCAGTGTTTCTTAAGATGTCAGCTTATATATAGGTTCGTGGATTTGCTTAAGATAGGACAATATGACAAACTCAGTATCGTTCAATATGCAGGAGAGGCGTGATGAGTGAAATCAGACTAGAAAAATCAGACATCCTGTTATTTAGATGTTTTTTTTTGGAGTGTGTGAATTTATAGTACACACTTTGGCCAGTTTCTTTTATACAAATAATCAAGGAATAAAGTTTGGGTTGTTCTTTGACACCAGTCTCTTGCTATATTTATTTACAATTTATTATTACCATTTATATATATTTTTTCTCTTTGTTATTATAATATATTGTGACGTGTGGGCTGCTGTCTAAGTTGTAAGTCTTTTCACCAATCCTACTCTGCCCTCTAGTGTCCACACGAGGCTCTGCAGTCTGTGTAATAACTGCTGTGTTTATTTATTTATTCATTTATTTATTTATTTAATAGGGACAGTGCATATTAATGAACATCTACAACACTGCAGTGTAAATATGACAGATTATAGCAAAAATGCTCATTTCCATCTGTCGTCCCTCGACAGGTAACAACCAGTGTTGGGGAGTAACAGATTACATGTACTTGCGTTACGTAATCAGAATACAAATTATGAGTAACTGTATTCAGTTACAGTTACTGTTTCAGTGAGTGGTAATTGGATTACAGTTACTTTGTTGAAATAAATGGATTACAAAATAAATAGATTTTTTTTTTTTGCATGGCAGTATTTTCCTGTTTTCACATTTTTATTTTTATTTTTATTTTATTTTGGTAATTCATTGCTGGAAACCCAAACAGACCGCGGCAATAGGAGCGACGTAAACATCTTGTTAACATTGGTGGTGTCAGTCACACAATGGACGAGGTTGTTAATAATTGGCGTTGATAATAATCTGATTCTGCATCATTTTGAGTAAAAAACATCCAATATTACTGATTTTTACTGGGCTGGTGCCTTTATGTTTGTACTGAAAGTGATTATTTTTTTTTTTTTAAATAAACAATATGACACCTAACAGTAGGTGGACATAATTTAAGGTGATCTCATATACAAAGCATTTCTCTATCAATAATTTTTTAATATGGTTAAGTAAAGTCTGGGCTTTTTTTATTGTCTTTAAGCAGACTAAACAGTATATTTTAAAATATCCTTGTCTTTGCTTCTACAGTAAACAAAAGTCTGTTCATGGAGACTTGGGCTCAACAGACAATTTGAAGAGAACAAACAAGAATTTTCAGGATGTGGCTGCTACGTTCATGTAGTTTTACAAAACATGACAATATCAAGTAATCCAAAGTATTCAGATTACATTACTCACTTTAAGTAATTTAATGGATTATGTTACAAACTACATTTTGGGGTATGTAATCTGTAATCTGTAGGGGAATACATTTTAAAAGAAACCTTCCCAACACTGGTAACAAAACAACAAAAACAAGTGACAGTTCTAAACTGAAAGTGTCCACAAGTCTGGTTTTCCTTTAGCCTGTTTCAAGTGGGATTTGAAAGTGGCAAGTGTTGGAGTTTCTCTTATTGATAATGAGACACACTTTTTCCGAATGTTGTGCGTCTGTGTGGAGCTCACAGTTCCCCCGGGCTGTGGCTCTAGTTCCCATCCCACTGACAGTCTTTACTTTAATAAAATCCTGTAACGGAGGAGGGGCAAGTCCATGCAAAACTTAATAGATAAAACAGCCATATTTAAAATCAATAAAATGATTAAAATTAAGCGGATTGTACTTATCTAAAATAGTGCAGTGGTGAAATGAGAGTGGTTTCTTATCCAGTATTTTTATGGCTTCTTAAAAAAGTGATTCGATGGGTTTGAGTTTTGTACCAGCAACAAGTGACCATGTGGTTCTGCAACACTCTATATGCGACAGAATCATGAAGTGTAAAAACATTCGTGCCGCATATAGAGTCATTAAAGATCTTACTTGTCTAAAATAAGTTAAAATGAACAGTTTTTATGAGGCGCTTAATGTGTTTCTTAAATGTCAATGTCAGGTCTAACATCAGTCCCAGGTATTTAAACTCCTTGACAAGGCTGAGTTCCACCCGTCCAGAAACACATTAAACCAGTTGTTTTTTTTACTGAACATCATGCAGACAGTTTTCTTTATGTTGAGTTTCAAGCGTGAGTTCTTGGTGTGTTTGCAGAACTGCCTGATCCGGGTGACTTCGCGCGGTCGTGAGGCCCTGGTCACAGACTTCGGCCTGGCTCGGGAGGTGGTGGAGCTGCCGGTGAAGGACCCCGGGAGGAAGCTGTCTCTGGTGGGCTCGGCCTTCTGGATGGCCCCTGAGATGCTCCGGGGGGAACCCTATGACAGAAAGGTACTGTTAAGGATTTACGTTCAAACATGAGAACCTGTTTTAAAGCCCCATTGTGTAGCTTTTTAGCAAAACAGTTTTTTTTTCCAAGTTGGTTGCTTTCATTGCACTAAAAAAACATAGAAAGAGATGTGTCTTTACTGTGAGCCTGCCTGCATCTCAACAAACCTGACTCTTGTTTTTTAAGTTATTTATTTTCATAATTTTCAGAAACAAGGTAAGAAAAATAGATAAATAAATATATGATCTGAATGAGTTGAGGTAGTGTTGTCACAATACTAAAGTCAATCAATCAAAATTTTGAAGATGGTAAAAATCAAGTACAGCGCCTCTAAACCAGGCATGTCCAAACTATGGCCCGTAAGCCATATGTGGCCCTCAGACAGATTTTTCTTGGCCCTGAGGCTTCCAGGTGAATTGGCACAAATTACCTTGCATCAATTAAAAATTTACTGCAAGTTTTTTTTTTTTTTATCTACCTTGATAGAGCTGGTATTTAATATTTAGTGTGTGGTTTTAAGAATCTTAGCATGAATAAAGTCTGATGGCTCATTCTTATGTGTTAAACCTGCACATATTTCAATTATTCACTGTATTGAACTCCAGTCTACGGCCCTCGATCGGCCCTCTGCTTCGTTTGTGTTTAGATTTGTGGCCCTTGATGAAAAAAGTTTGGACACCCCTGATCTAAACAATTGGAACACTGAAAATCGAGGATCAAATGAAGTAAACTACCTCTATGAACAATTTCAGGCCGACAGAGAACTGTGCCAGTTTCCACACCTAATCTCAAACCGATTGACGTGTTCATGCTGAAAATCAGAGCGTAAAAGTAAAACTTGTTTTTTCACGCAAACTGTGACGACACAGTAGACGTCAGCAGGTTCACACGTGGTAAAATAAACAAACAAAGAAAACCTGTGTGTGGGATATGGTGGAGAAAACAAGTGACAAGAACATTGTGGAGTGGTCCAAATATTTGCTATATCCGTGTTCGCATGGTAAGGTTCTGTCTTTGGATTGGGCGTTGCTGCTGCCTTCTCCACAGCAGACGTTGTAGCAGAGCTCGGCGCAGATAAATAATGATTTGTATGAGTACAAATGCTCGCTGGTGTACATGATGTGATCCGTGATTGTTATTTTCCTCGCTGTGACATCCACTTTTGTATGGCCTTGTTTTTATTTGGTGGCATTGGGTTCACCGGTGAGCACTTTGGTTCTCAGTGTATCTGGTGTGGGAACCAGCACTGGCCTGAAAACAGCTTAAGGCACAGGTGTCAAACATACGGCCGGGGGGCCAAATCCGGCCCCCCAAGACCTTTAATGTGGCCCTCGGCTGATTTTCTACTAAAATATTTTAATTATATTTTCTATTAAAATATTGGTAATTTTCTGCGGTGCTGAGCATAGCAGCGTCTCCAACGTCTCTGTACGTGGCCCCTCCCACCAGAGCAGCACAAATGAAGACTTGTCTCTTTCCAGACACGCTCTTAAAGGACGATCGTTTTGACTGTTGACTGTGACACCCTCATCAGAAAAATGTCCAACATGAGAAAAGTGGAGCGCAGAGTGAAAAATTTACTTATTCCTATTTGCATATGAGTTCATGTTAAAACATTGTGTTGAAATTGTATTTTTCTTAAAGTTTCAGGTTGTTCATAATATTATAATATTTTGTAAAACAAAGAGTTCATCAATTAAAAATGATTTCTGTAATAGATTTGTGTTTCTCTGCACAAATATTTGAATTTATTGTTATTTTTGGGGTTTATATGCCATGAGTTTTCTGATCCGGCCCCTTTGGGATCAAAGTAGGTTGGATACGGCCCCCAGACCAAAATGAGTTTGACACCCCTGTCTTAAGGAATAAACAAATCAGAAACAAGGAGCAGGACCAGTAGCGATCTTTAGTCATTTTTGGAGTTTTAAAAGGTGCATTGTGTAACTTTTCTGGTGGAGGGTCTGCTTTTTTTGTCTGGAAAGTTTCACAGTATTATATTAAACCTTTCTATCTTTATGGAGACCAAACCAGACTAAGTTACAGGTCAGATCTGTGGAGACGCAACCCTGCTCCGTCAAAATGCCTTTTTTTCTAGGTATTTTTGAGCTATAAAACCACCTTAAATTGAATAAATGTAAAGTAGAGCACTGACATCTCCGTAGAAACAAGCAGGTGACTGAATCTCCACCAGAAAAGTTACACAATGCGCCTTTAATGTAGTTGAACACTTTCTTTTATACTTACTTTTTCTTGTGTTTTCTTGTGTGTCTCAGGTGGATGTGTTCTCCTTTGGGATCGTTCTGTGTGAAATCCTGGCCCGGATCCCAGCAGACCCAGAGATCCTGCCCCGTACACAGGTACACAAATCCCCCAGGAAAACTATACATCATTTTGCCAACAAGACACAATGAACATTCTGTAATCTGTTGATACGTTGCATCTGATGTCATCACCATTCTCTCAGTGGGTGTTGCTAACTGTAGGCACTGCTCTGTCTGACCAGAAAGTTGAACATCAAACTTCTAAACAAGACCATGAATGTTTGTATTGGTCACAGGCTCTTGAAAATGTTTTGTTTAAATCCATTTTGTATTTTTTGTTGGATTTCAGCCTATTTTTTAAACTTTTTTGGCAGTCTTTGCTAGTGTGTGCATTGTGTCACCATGGTAACTGCTGAGTATTCCTCCATAAACATACATATAGACATCCCCAAGCGCAGTGTTGGGGAGTAACAGATTACATGTACCGGAGTTATGTAATCAGAGTACAGATTATGAGTAACTGTATTCAGTTACAGTCACTGTTTCAGTGAGTGGTAATTGGATTACAGTTACTTTGTTAAAATAAATGGATTACACAGCGGGATTTTCCTGTTTTTACATTTTGGGCTATATCCCCTTTTTTTTTTTTTTTTCTTTCGGACACTGACGGACACTAAGCCAGGTCTAAACCAGGTCTAAAACCAGATCTAAAACCAGGTCCAAATTAGGTTTAAACCAGATCTAAACCAGGTTTAAACCAGGACTAAAACCAGGTCTAAACCAGATCTAAAGGGTCTAAACCAGGTCTAAACCAGGTCTAAAACCAGATCTAAAACCAGGTCTAAACCAGTAAACAGGTTTAAACTAAACCAGGTCTAAACCAAGATCTAAAACCAGGTCTAAACCAGATCTAAAACCAGGTCTAAACCAGGACTAAAACCAGGTCTAAAAACAGGTCTAAAACCAGGTCTAAACCAGGTCTAAACCAGGATTTAACAGGACTAAATCATGCTGCGTGGACGTGTCTCCTCTTCTTCTATCAATAATATTTTAAATTTGGTTAAGTAAAGTCTGGTCTTTTTATTTTCTTTTATCAGACAAAACTTCTTATGTTACGATTTCTTCGTCTTTGCTTCTGTACAGCAAATCAAGTAATCCAAAGTATTCAGATTACATTACTCACTTTAAGTAATTTAATGGATTATGTTACAAACTACATTTTGGGGTATGTAATCTGTAATCTGTAGGGGAATACATTTCAAAGTCACCTTCCCAACACTGCCCAAGCGTGATGTTAGAGCAAAGTATCAATGATCGTACTAAGTTATATAAAGCTGTAGTCTAGCTGTATTTTATCTTTGAATGTTCTGTCGTTACTCACCCTGAAATGTTCCGCAGTATGACATTAAACTGTTCTAAATTAACTATAACAATGGTGGAGAAAATTAAACTATGAAGTGTGGAGTAACTAATGCAAAATATAAAGATTGCAGTGGTTTTCTATTAAAAAAGAAACCCAAAAGCAAACTACCTTGAAAACTTGTACTCTTGGACAAAATGTACTGTAACCCGACTGCCTCCCTTTATTTATTTATTTTTCTAAATCTATTTGTTTGTATATGTGTATGTACAGTGGTCCCTCGTTTATCGCGGGAGTTACGTTCTACAAATAACCCGCGATAGGTGAAATACGTGAAGTAGTCAACTTTATATTTTACAATTATTATATCTGTTTTAAGGCTGTAAAACCCCTCACCACACACTTTATACTCTTTTCTCACACAGGACACTTACAACCCTTTTTACATCCTTCTTAAAACTTATTGCTGCTGTCGTCCTTTTCTTATTTTCCTTCTTCTTTATGTAGCGAACCCAAGATTCATTTATTCCGTAATGGAGCCCTACAGCGCAGAGTCCTGCACAGGTCCATTTTTGGAGACGCACACCCGCGCTTTAACCTGAGATTATATCAAAGTTTTGTGCTGCATGTGCCATGGACTGAACCAAGACTAAACCAAGACTAAACCAGGACTAACCAAAGACTGATTCCAGGACTGAAGAGGAGGACTGAACTAGGATTGAACTAGGACTAAAACTGGACTAAAACCAGGACTAAAACCAGGACTAAACCAGGACTAAAACTAGGACTGAACTAGGCCTAAACCAGGACTAAAACCAGGACTAAACCAGGACTAAACCAGGATTAAACCAGGACTAAACCAGGATTAAACCTGGACTAAACCAGGACTAAACCAGGACTAAACCAGGATTAAACCTGGACTAAACCAGGACTAAAACTAAGACTGAACTAGGCCTAAACCAGGACTAACCCAGGACTAAAACTAGGACTGAACTAGGCCTAAACCAGGACTAAAATCAGGACTAAACCAGGACTAAACCAGGACTAAAACTAGGACTGAACCAGGCCTAAACCAGGACTAAAACCAGGACTAACCCAGGACTAAACCAGGATTAAACCAGGACTAAAACTAGGACTGAACCAGGACTAAAACCAGGACTAAAACCAGGACTAACCCAGGACTAAACCAGGATTAAACCAGGACTAAAACTAGGACTGAACCAGGCCTAAACCAGGACTAAAACTAGGACTGAACCAGGCCTAAGCCAGGACTAAAACCAGGACTAACCCAGGACTAAACCAGGATTAAACCAGGACTAAAACTAGGACTGAACCAGGCCTAAACCAGGACTAAAACCAGGACTAAACCAGGACTAAACCAGGACTACACCAGGATTAAACCAGGACTAAAACTAGGACTGAACTAGGCCTAAACCGGGATTAAACCAGGACTAAACCAGGACTAAACCAGGACTAAAACCAGGACTAAACCAGGACTAAACCAGGACTCCCTGTCTGGACAGGCTCGGGGGCGACCGCAGGAGTAAGGACCAGTGTTCCGGCGCAGAGGTCTACCCGGTACTACCCGCCCGTAAAATTCCAGAACATTAAAACTCGCTCGTTTTAGCAACTATTTGCCCGTACAAGACCCGGTGCAGGACTCTGCCACAACCACGTAACTTTTACCTCCTTCCTCCCAGTCTTGCCTTAAGTATTGCAAAGTATTATGACCATTAAATTGGGATAGTTTATTATATAGAATTGATGCCCCCTCTAGTATCAGGGTTATTCAAAAATAATCAATGGGTCTTTGTGCTGGGGCCCTTGGGTAATTTATATTGTAATTTCATACCTCTAAATATTATTATCATTACATTTTATTTTATATATTTTTACGTACTGTTTACATAGATTTTCTTTATGTGTGGGTATTTTGATATTTTGAGCGGGGTCGCCTCTCCACAGATCTGACCTGTAACTTAGTCTGGTCACCATACTGTGAAACATTCCAAACAAAGCAACAACATCTCCATGGAGAAAAGTATTTGACGGACCCTCCAGCGGAAAAGTTACACAGTGCAGCTTTTAATACAGTTTTCCAGTGCGTTTGTGTTATTAACATTTTTAAACAAACCATTAGAATGAAAAATGCACAGCTCTATTTCCATTAAATGTGAGCCTGAAGATGTTTTCAGTAGCGACAAAACAGCAGCTGGGTGATGTGGCCGCCGGGTGACATCTTCTGGTGAAAACATTATCATAATCGGAATCAGTTTTATTGCCAGCAAAATTCACAAACTTGGAACGTGCTTCGGAGTCATGGCGCAACGTTAAAGGAAGATAATAATATAAACTAAGATAAAAACTAAAGGGCGTACATTAAAGGTGCACTGTGTCACTTTTTGGTTGGCTCTATGTTACATTTATTCAATTACTAATATGGTTTTAGAGCTTAAAAACTACGGAAGCCGAGAGGGGTCACAACACAACAAAAAGCCACAACACACCAAAAAAGCCACAACACACCAAAAAAGCCACAACAGAAATGACAGCGGGACTCTATTTTTAATGCAAACGCCGCAACAAATACAAATCCACAACACAAACGCAAATGCCACAACACATTAAAAAGCCACAACACATTAAAAAGCCACAACGGAAGTGACCGCGGGACTCAATGCATTTGTGTTGTGGCGTTTGTATTTGTTGCGGCCTTTGCATTAAAAATAGAGTCCCGCGGTCATTTCTGTTGTGGCTTTTTTTGGTTTGTTGTGGCTTTTTTTTGGGTGTATTGTGGCTCTTTGTTGTGTTGTTGCATATGTATTTGTTGCGGCGTTTGCATTAAAATAGAGTCCCGCGGTCATTTCCATTGTGGCTTTTTTTGGTTGTGGCTTTTTGTTGTGTTCTCGCATTTGTATTTGTTGCGGCGTTTGCGGTTTGTTGTGACCCCTCTCGGCTTTTTGTTGTGTTGTGGCTTTTTTTTTTGGGTGTATTGTGGCTCTTTGTTGTGTTGTCGCATATGTATTTGTTGCGGCGTTTGCATTAAAATAGAGTCCCGCGGTCATTTCCATTGTGGCTTTTTTTGGTTTGTTGTGGCTTTTTTTTGGGTGTATTGTGGCTCTTTGTTGTGTTGTTGCATATGTATTTGTTGCGGCGTTTGCATTAAAATAGAGTCCCGCGGTCATTTCCATTGTGGCTTTTTTGGGTTGTGGCTTTTTGTTGTGTTCTCGCATTTGTATTTGTTGCGGCGTTTGCGGTTTGTTGTGACCCCTCTCGGCTTTTTGTTGTGTTGTGGCTTTTTTTTTGGGTGTATTGTGGCTCTTTGTTGTGTTGTCGCATATGTATTTGTTGCGGCGTTTGCATTAAAATAGAGTCCCGCGGTCATTTCCATTGTGGCTTTTTTTGGTTTGTTGTGGCTTTTTTTTGGGTGTATTGTGGCTCTTTGTTGTGTTGTTGCATATGTATTTGTTGCGGCGTTTGCATTAAAATAGAGTCCGCGGTCATTTCCGTTGTGGCTTTTTAATGTGTTGTGGCTTTTTAATGTGTTGTGGCTTTTTAATGTGTTGCGGCATTTGCGTTTGTGTTGTGGCGTTTGTATTTGTTGTGGCTTTTGTATTTGTTGCGGCGTTTGCATTAAAGTAGAGTCCCGCGGTCATTTCCGTTGTGGCTTTTTTTGTTGTGTTGTGGCTTTTTTTTGGGTGTATTGTGGCTCTTTGTTGTGTTGTCGCATATGTATTTGTTGCGGCGTTTGCATTAAAATAGAGTCCCGCGGTCATTTCCGTTGTGGCTTTTTAATGTGTTGTGGCTTTTTAATGTGTTGTGGCTTTTTAATGTGTTGCAGGCATTTGCGTTTGTGTTGTGGCGTTTGTATTTGTTGCGGCGTTTGCATTAAAATAGAGTCCCGCGGTCATTTCCGTTGTGGCTTTTTTGGTTTGTTGTGGCTTTTTTTGGTTTGTTGTGGCTCTTTGTTGTGTTCTCGCATTTGTATTTGTTGCGGCGTTTGCGGTTTGTTGTGACCCCTCTCGGCTTCCGTACAAAAACACCTAGAAAAGCAAACATTCTGACTGTGAGCGGGGTCGCCTCTCCGTAGATCTGACCTGTAGCTTAGTCTGGTTTGGTTTTCATGGAAATAGAAAGGTTTAATACCATACTGTGAAACATTCCAGACAAAGCAGTAACATCTCCATGGAGAAAACTATTTGATGGACCCTCCACCAGGAAAGTTACACAATGCACCTTTAAAATGAGGTTAAAAACAAAAATTGTATTCTGTCAACGGAACAAAGAGTGAAGATATTTCCTACCTGGACGACTGAGGGATTACACTGACTGCAACAACTGGACTTTTTTTTTTTTTAAAGAATAGTAATAAAAACTCAAAGATAATGTGAAATAATGGCACAGACTCCTGATTTAGTGGTGTTTTTTTTGTTTTTTGTTTTTTTTTGTGCGCTCTCTTCAGGACTACGGTCTGGATGTGAGTGCCTTCAAGGACCTGGTGTCGGGCTGTCCACAGAAAGTCCTCGACCTCGCCAACCAGATGCTGCCTGGTGAGACGCACAACTCAACCACCGAGATATTTTACACAACTTTACCTGTCCTTACTTACTTTTAGGGAGGGAGGGATGGAT